TTATCAAGCCTTGTTAAGTTACTTGTCTTCTTGCTGGTATAAAACACTCACCAAGAAGCAAACTTAAAGGAGAAGGACTTACTTTGGCTCACAGGTCAAGAGAACAATCCATCATAATAGGGAAGGACGGTGACAGCTTTACCTCAGTGAGGAATCGGATGTTGGTGCTCACCTTTCTTTCTCCTTTTTTTGGGCTGTCTGGGACCCCAGTCCATGGAATAGGGTGGGTCTTCTCACCTCACTTAGCCTAATATAGATGATCTTTCAGGGATGTGCCCAGAGGCTTATCTTCTCAGTGTTGCTAGGTCCTGTTTGGTTGATGATCATTAAGCATTGCAAGCTCCCAGCCTGGCCCTGAACATGGGTGAGAAGGACACTTTTCCCCTTAGGGAAGTAGAGAGCCTTCTTTTTCCAAGGATCATCCTACTTTGAGGTGTTCCATGGGGTCTTTTGCCTATGGACCCATATTTGGGGTCAGAGTCACGAACCTCTTCCAACAGTCATCCCAAGCCTCAGTCTTCTCCCATGTCAGTAGACTTGCCGTTGACTGTTGGAGTATAGTCCTGCGTTCTCAGTTCATTCCAGAACATGCCTTTGTGCCTTTTATCAGTTATCCCCGCTAACCAGGTGTGAGGTATTGCCTTTTTTTTTCTTTTTTGATTATTTATTTATTTAGAAGAGAACATCAGATCTCACTACACTACAGATGATTGTGAACCATCATGTGGGTGCTGGGAACTGAACGTAGGACCTCTGGAAGAGCAGTCAGTGCTCTTAACCTCTGAGCCATCTCTCCAGCCCCTTGAGGTATTGTTTTTTGCTTTGGGTTTGGAAGGGGATCTTTCAAATTGCCAGGTTTATCTAAATGTTTTAACTCAACTATGAGTGGTAGAGAGGCTTTACTTGTGTGGCCTAAGGATGTCAAGTTACAAAGACAAGTGTGGGATCTAAACTAGGTTTCTCAGTCTTCTACTGTTGATGTTGTGGATCTGATAGTTCAACAGTTTGCTGTCCTGTGCATTTTAATAGTCTGTTTGCCTGCGACAAAGGTCTGTTTGCCTGGGACAAAGGAAAGAAATCAGTACAGTTTGGTTTTGGTGAGCTCACAGCTACCTCTTATTAACATAGCATCCCTCATTTACATTTTGTACATTGAAACTGATGCTACTGCTTCTGCCCTTGGACCTATAATGGTCCCCTGAGGCTGGGAGGAGGCAGGTGTGCAGCCACCCATTATACAGCTGTTGCTCTAGACCCAGTGAGAGCACAGGGCTTTCCTGTGAATGATGGTCCCGGAGTGACTATGAAGTCTCCAGTACAATAGAGCTGACTCATCCTGCCAGCTGGGATGTTTGTCATTTCAGGTACCTGAACCTCCAGCTTCAGCATCTTTCAGTGGAAAACAAAACCCATAGCTCTGAATCAATCCTGCTTTGAAGCTGGGTATCAGCTCTTACCTATTAAAATATTGGCTGTTCTAGAACTGTCAAGTCTGTCTGTGAGATTTTATAAGATGTCATTTTAACTGGGATTATTATCCTATTTTGGGCCTTTCTTCTAAGAAAGAATAGAATGTGCTATGTTAGGTTATGGAACTGAGGCCTGAGCATGCCCCATGGGCCATCTGGAGATGGTGAGATGACATGGGTCACTCCATTCCTGCATTTCAGAAAGTAGTGCTTGATGTTGGTAACAGTCCTCATCCTAGCCTGGGGGTCTGACTCATAGTAGGCCTTCAGGAATATTGCATGAAAGGACAGATTTCTCAAGCATCCTGAATCATTTCATGGGATGAATTTCAGCCCAGCTCTTCTCTGTGGTTGAGCTTTTGTGAGACTCTGCCTGTGCTAGCTATAAAAATGGGTTGTATTAAGTCTAATGCAAATCAGTTAAGCAGTATTTTAATGAGTGGTAGAGAGGCTTTCCTTGTGTGGCCTAAGGATGATCAAGTTACAAAGACATGTGTGGGATCCAAACTAGGTTTCTCAGTCTTCTACTGTTGATGTTGTGGATCTGATAGTTCAACAGTTTGCTGTCCTGTGCATTTTAATAGTCTCCTTTGCCTTTTTCCTACTTAATACCAGTAGCTCCACAACCCCCAACCCTGGTGATGGCAACTCAAAATGATTCTAGACATCCTCAAATGTTCCTCTGTTGGGAGTGGAGAGTGCGGTCTCTTACTCACTGGAGACAGTGGGTTTGCAGATCTTCTGTCTCTTTTAACCTAGTAGAGTTGACACGGACCCGTCTAGAGAGCTTTGTGTCTAAAGACAAATGGACACGTAACTTGGTGTTCTACTTCTCCCCTTGCTGTGTCTAAAGGAACCTTTTCGTGTGGCTCACTGATGGCACAATGGATCATGGCAGTGAGAGCAGTTCTGGTTTCAGGAGCTTGAGGTGGCTGGTCGAATGGTGTCTGTAGTCAAGAGACAGAGAGAGGTGAATGCTGGTACTTATCTGTACTCCTCTCTCTCTCTCTCTCTCTCTCTCTCTCTCTCTCTCTCTCTCTCTCTCTCTCTCTTTCTTCCATTTCTAAAATTCAATACTAGGCCCCAGTCCATGGGATGCTATTACTCGTGTTCATGGGGGTGGGTTTTCATGACTTAGGTAGTTCTCTCTGCAAACGCCCTCACAGAACACCTACCTAGAAGTCGCCTAGGGAGGTGACTCAGTCCACTCAAGTTAACACTGAAGATTAACCCTCACACTTGGTCAGGGGACATTTTCAGTGTTGGAAGTGAAGTTCCTGCCTGATGTCTAAGATGAACATTCTTCTCTTCCCCTGACTGTGTGACCTTGAACACATTTATCCAGCATCCCAGATGGAAAGCCATCCCATGTTCTCTGAGCTCAGGCTTACATGTGACAAATAAACAAACAAACAAAAACCCAAAGTGGTTGAATATTTTGTCTTCCACCAGCGCTCTAGAAAATGCTGGCACCCTGTATATGAATAACGCAAGCATCTTCAGGGAAATGACTCTTGGCTTTTGAGTGAGGTTCAGTTGATATTTTCTGTGTAGCCGTAGAGAAGAGATTTGGGTTCTGAGATTTGCACCTATTATAAACCCAGCTTGGTTCAGGGCCTGAGCTCAGACTGTGGTTTCTACATCTACTGCTGAGACCCTGCCTGACTTTCACAGTCTCGAGTCTGCTCAGCTATAAAATGGGGTCTAATAGACATACTAACATCACATAGTTACTGTGTGGAGGATTCAGAGGGAGCAACTGGTCTCTCTGGGGCCTGTCCTTTGGTCCTCCTTGATTCTAATCGCCTGCCATAGCTGTTTCATTTTCGTAGGACTCCAGTTCCATTCTGGAGGCTCAAGCATTTAGGGGAAACATAGCTTGTTCCCCTGTCCCCAGCCCCAAGGAAAACAATACTGGCTGTAGGAGTGGTGGTTACATGGACAGCTGGATGCCTCACTGGTAACGGTCAGCCGGGTCCCTTTGAAGTGGTTTTAAGACCAATTTGGTAACTTGATTTGGAAAGTGGTATTGATGACTGTGAGGGCGCGGGCTGCCCATTAGCTGCTGTCTGGGTTGGCAAATTGGTTTAAATGGAATGAACGCGGTTCCTTCCTCCCCAGGGCTCATGGCTAAGGGCCAGGCTCTTTGTCAGGGAAAAAATCTCCTGGGCAAAAAGACAAGTGAAAAGGTTTCCTGGAGCCTGCTGCTGTTTTTCATATGTGAGTTCTGCTTTCCTCTGTGGGGCAAGGCCAGGAGCTGATAACACTGGACAAAGAGCTGGTCTGGGGGAGGGGCTAGGTAGTTCAAAGGGAATGGACAGGGACCAGTGCTAAGCGTTTTCCAAGGATTGCTTATCTGTCCTCCTGATGAGAGACATTGTGCTTGATGACACTCCTGCTTCTTTTTCATTTCTTCTGTTTCTATAGCAGCCAGTGTTGCTGGGATGAACTTCCTGTTGTTCCCAATGGGAGGCAAATGTTTAAGCTTCTTGGGGGTTCACACAGGAAGGCCAGCAACACTGCTGCCTCTTGAGTCTGCCGAACATTCTCCATCACCCACAGGGCCTTGTCAAGCTGTTTCCAGAACAGTTATCCCAGTTTACACCCCTACTCGCTGGGTGCAGAGCCCCATTCCCCACATTGGCACACACTTCTCTTGGGTCACCATCTTGCCAGTTTGATGGGTAAGGTGCACATTTGGTTGGTTTTCTTCTTGCCAGTGGCTAGGTGTCCTGTTCATGGGCACCCACTGTCTGTGAGAAAGGAGATCATAGTCAGCTTGTCTAGTCACCTCCTTCCTGCCCCACCTGCTCATGATTATTCATGAAACTTGCCAAGCAATTATTATGAATCAGTTATTCCATTGATTATGTTGGGTACCTGATGCATGCATGTGACATATCCCTGGTGCCAGGGATACAGCGAGCAACATACTAACATGGCTCTGCCCTGAGGGGTATTGAGTCAAAGGGGAAAGGTATTAAGTATTTGTAAGAGGAAGAAAACATCTTCCATTCTCCTGAATATTTTTAAGCAGTCTTGGCACTCAGCGTAGAAAGGAAACCATGGTCATCTTTCTTGCTTTGCTTACCGTCTCTCTAGGAGAAAGTGCTGTTTTCCAAGAAGATGAGAGAGCAAAGAAATAGGGGAGGGATAAGGACAATCTGTTTAGAAATGAAGAGAAGAACTCTGTTTGGTAAGCACTCACTGTGTGCTAGACCCCCTGGGAAGAGCTCAGCCTAGGGCCAGTCCATAGAGAACCTCTGGTGCTCACAAGGTAGAACTCAGTTCTCCTGATTCTTCAGTGGTCACTAATGTCAGCTGCTCAATTTCTGTATGGAAGAGCTAGGCAGGACCAAACACTCCTCTCCCTCTGAGAAGATTTCAATGGAGCATCAGGGTCCTGGCCCTGTGTGAACACCAGGTGGTGTATACGATCTCTACCAGCATAGAGGCTCTGGATGGAATACTGAAGAAAGGGAACTGGCGTGGTTAAGTGACACATTCTCCATGTTTCCTCATCCTTTATAGAGAGCTGAGTTCCGTCACTATGGACGTTGGCAGTGGCATTTTCATTCCTGTGGTAAGCAGTCAGCCCTGAGGTAGAAGAATTACCTATGAGATCTGGCTCATAAACAGCACAGGTAAGGTGGAGTGTTTCAAGGTGAGGGAGACGCACTCTTGTAAATGGATGGTTCTCTCCCACCTGCTATTGCCTGAATAATCATTCAGAGGCTTAATATTACTTAAAAATGCTCAGCCGATAGCTCAGGCTTATTACTGACTAGCTCTTACACTTAAATTAACACATAATTCTTATCTATGTTTAGCCACGTGGCTTGGTGCTTCTCAGTACAGCATTCTCATTTGCTTCCTCTGCATCTGGCTGGTGACTCCCGACTCCACCCTTCTCCTTCCCAGCATTCTCAGTTTGGCTTTCCCATCTAACTTCCTGCCCAGCTACCGGCCTGTCAGCTTTTTTTTTTTTTCTTTTTAACCAGTGAGAATAATACATATTCCTAGTGTAGAAAAGGATTATTCCACAGCACACTCTTGGTCACATGAACTTGCTGGTTTCTCTGAGGAGACACATGGACCTGTCTTTCAGTTGTAACGCGATTCTGGGTGGGCTGAAGTCACGGTTTTCTTAAGAAACACTGGTGTATCTGCCAGGCTCGGAAAGCTTCAGGAGAAGGTGGTAACTTCTACAGTCTAATCATGCCCCTTAAAGAGTATGTTGAAGTCTTAGTCTTCTATCTCAGAATGTGACTGTGGTTCCAAATAGGATCTTTGAAGAGGTTATTTTGTTCAACAAGGTCTCGAGAATGGGCCCTCAGCCCGTGTGACTGGTGTAGAAGAGGATGTTGGGACACAGATGCCATCAACAGAAGATAGCTGAGGAACTTGGGGGGAGATGGCCACAGCCAAGGCAAGGGAAGAGGTCTCAGGCGAAACGGACCTAGCTGATGCCTGATCTTGTGTCGATTTGTAACTTGAGAACCGAGGAAATGACGTTCTCTTGTTTACACCACCCAGCCTGTGACAGTTTGTTACTGCTGTCTCGTGAAACAAATGCAGTGACTGTGAAGTTTGCCTTCATAGCCATGTTCTTAGTCTCAGCTGTGGAAAGGGGCCCTGGACTGTCCACCTCAGGCTGTGGGATCTAGACCTGGTGAGAAGAGCTCACAGTAACTGGTTAGGGCCTTACCACAGGCCAGGCCCTGTTTGCAGCCGAACACAGGACATCTTTTTGTGGGCCTTTTTGGGAGGAGATGCTTGCATTCCCCTTTACAGCTGAGTCAGTGGCCCCCAGAGCTGTTGACTGTCTTGCCTGATGGTGCTCAGGTGGAAAGGAATTTAGCAGCCTAAGGACTGTTACGTTGTCCTTTGGAGCCTTTATACCGGACCCCTAAGCTCTATCAGTTCCCCAGCACCTAGGCTATAGGACATACATTGAAGGCAATTTCCCTGAAACAAGATCTTGTATGTTCTGCGTGGTGTATTGTGAACATCAGAAGCTGTGTGTGTGTGTGTGTGTGTGTGTGTGTGTGTGTGTGTGTGTGTGTGTGTCTGTTCTAGCCCTGTACTGTCACTGCCCCATCAGGCCCCTGTGCTTCTGTTCTCTCTCCTCAGACCTCATCTTCATTGACATTGGCTTTCATCCCAGAAGTCAGCCTGGCATGCAGACCTGCCCTGTAATCCTCACACCTCACATGGCTAAATCAACAGGGTCTGGCTTTTGGGAAATGACTTGTACTTATGAATCTGTCCTTTCCTCTCAGCTCTGTCTAATCTTTCTTTCCATATGCAGTTTCCAGGGCCCTGGCATTCTCTGCCTCATTTAAGCAGCATCTCTCATCACTGACCGGTATCAGATCCTAGAGAAGAGAGGACAGTGCCTTGCCCTGGACTTACACAGAACTTACGGGAAAATGCATCACCCTGAGTGTGGGCCAGCCAAGGCACCCACCCAAGCCAGCCCTGCCGGGGTTTGGACGCACTGGCTGCCTTAGTCACTGGCCAAAGACACTTGCTCTAGCCGTAGCCTACCCCACCTCTCTGATGGCTGAGTTCCTGGAAAAGCTTTACGCCATGGGACGTGGATTTTCCTTCCTGCTATATAACTGGAGCTCTCATTCACTGAGTGCTTATTCAGTGTCCGGGACTGTATTGAGCCTTTCAGACACAGCTTGTGAGTGTATGTGTACATGTGTATGAATGTACAGCCTCACATGTACACATAGGGGTGCCCATTTGCATGTGGAGGTTAGAGGTCTGTGTTGAGTATCTACTGCAATCTTTCTTTTTTAAAGATTTATTTTTAAGACTAGGTGTGGTGACTCACACCTTTAATTCCAGCACTTGAGAGGCAGAGGCATATGAATCTCTTTGTGTTCAGGGCCAGCCTGGTCTGCATAGTGAGTTCCACAAAGGCCAGGTTATGCAGTGAGACCCTCTCTCAAAAAACCAAAAAAAACAACAACAACAACAACAACAAAAAACCCAAGCAAACAAACAAAAAACCAAAAACTGAAACTAAAACAAAAAGATTTATTTTTAATAATTTTAATTTTGTTTGTGTCTTTTGCCCGTGTATTGGCATATGTATTGGCAGGTACCCACAGACGCCAGAGGCTTTAGATCCCCTGGGGCTAGAGTTACAGGCAATTGTGAGCAGCCTGAACTGGGGTCCTCTAAAAGAGCAGTGAGTTCTCTTAACAGCTGAGTCAGTTCTCAATCCATAAACCCCTCCCCCGCTACACTTTATTTTTTGAAAGAGTATCTTACTGAAGCAGCACACACATTATAAGCATAGACTGCTGCCATGCCCGGCTTTTTACATGTGTGCTGGGCATTCGAACTCTCAGGTCCTCATGCTTGCCTGGAAAACACTCTACAAGCCAAGCCATCTCTTCAACCACCCAAGCTCCAGCTTTTTATTTGATGCACCTGATAACCCGATCTGGCCTCCTTCTGACTGATTGGGATACCAGCTCTCAGCTTGGAAGCACAAGGACAAACAGGAGAAAGTACCGTACCTCACCTACATCAGGTGTCAAATGTTTCCAGGGGTAACTGAGTCAACCTGGGATGGCACGTTGTTCTGGTTGACTCCTTGTACACAGGGAAGGACTAAGAACTGGCTCATGAGTGCCATCAACAACAGACTCTGTAGCCACAAAGCTATGCTATAGTGCCTTCTGGGGGAAGGTAAGCATGGTTTCCCTAGTGGGCCCAAGCTTTGAGCCCCAGACTCCAGCCTGTGAGCTCTTGTGACTTTCCACATTGTTTCCACTGATAAAACCCTGAGTGGTGGTTCTCTCAAATGAGTTCCAGGGGACAGATTGGGGTCACCCCGCATACACAGCAAATTTGCTTAAGGAGCCCACCAGAGAAGAGCTGATTGCTCCAGGGGGAAGAGGTGATGGTGGACAGTTACTTGGGACGAGAGGATGAAAGATGGATCAGGCAAAGACAGACTTCCACTAACCCAGAGAAGCCTGTCCTGAGAGACCTCCTTCTAGTTATCTTCTCATAGTTCTCAGTCTACAATCTACCATCATGACTCATCCTGGCGTTATAGTCCCCTGTCCCTGTACATGGTCACAGGGGAGCAGCATCCCGAGGGGCTGTGGAGCCAAGATGGTTCCTGCCAACTCAGCACTTAAGCAGTGCATATAGTACCACAGAGACATGATCTCACTCCATTGAGCAATGGCCTGGGAATCTAAGCCCTGCTAGGCTGAACGGGGAACTAGGACTTCCTGAGAGAGAGGAAGTATCAACCGAGAATGCTTCTATTCTACCATGTTCCTTCTACCCTGTCATACATTCTGAAACCTCATAGGGCTCCCTGCACAGAGATTTTCACAAGAGTGTCCATATCATTCCAAAACCTGGTAGTCATCTCAGGGGTAGATTTCCTGAGCCCTGGGTAGGAAACCCAGGGTAGGTTCAGTGCCTTGGAGTTCATGCAGGCCTTAGAATGATGAAAAAGAAGATGTCACTCCAGGTGGGGCTGGCACATAAGGATAGTAGGAGATCCCAGCACGGTCTTGAGGTGAGAGTTGAATAGATAGTCTCAGAAGGGCAAGCCAAAAGACATTTAGCAGGGCTTGGGGTATAGCTCAGTGGTAGAGCACTTACCTAGCATGCATGAGGCCCTGGGTTCAATCGTCAGCCCTGAAACAAAATAAATGAAATAAAAGGCATTGAATTGAGGAACTCAGTGATGACAGCACCCACCCTGTCCTCAGCTGTCACTTCCCTCTACTCTGCATGACCCTGCCTTGCTTTTTTCTTGGCCAAAGGCTCTCCAGGGGAATGCCATTTGCCCATCTCTAGTCTGGGAAACATCCCAGAAACAGCTGGACAAGCAGGTAATTCCACAGTGGGCCCCTAAGTCTGGCAGATAATTCCACGGTGGACCCCTAAGTGTCCCTTCCTCTTTATTCTGGTCTGTTCCTTAGAAAACCAAAACCAGGATTCATTTAGTGTTGCTGTGGCAAATGTATTTTTTTTTTTCTTTTTAAAAAAGCAAGGTTCATAGAAAAAGCATTTCCACCTGTGATGCCTGGCTTGGGAGGGAATCTCAGATAAAGAAACAGATTGTAGTGTGTGCTGTGTAAGCAGCTCAGACAAGCCGCCTGGCTTCGGTATGTCCAGAGAGGCCACAAGCCTGCAGTTTCCCTGTCTCAGCAGAGAGGCAGGAACCTGTTAACCTGTCTTAGAAGCTAATAAAAAGATCGCAGTGAGATCATGTCTGTTAAAGGCCTTTGAGTTCCTGGAGCTCCCATGCTGTATTTCCTTATTGCTTACTCATCAAAATGATCACCCAGCTAAAAACTGCCTTCTTCTCCTCTTCCGGTCCCTGGTTTCCTTCAGCATTTCGGTCTGATGCTTCCTTTCCTTTGCATTTTGAAAAGCTGCCTTTCCAAAAAAAAAAAAAATGCTTAATTATTTTAAACGTTCTGTCTCAGAGTGAGCTGACACACCAGAGAGCCTTGTTCTGTGCAGAGTCCATTGTCTCTATGAAGCCTGTGCACTTCTGATGGCAGATAGGTCACTGAAGCTCAGGCTGAGGAACCCAGAGAGGTCACGTGGCTGTGAACAGTCAGTTGTATTTGCCTCCAGGTCATGCCTT